CCCTTGCAGGAGGCCCAGGCCTATGCAGATGACAACAGCTTATTGTTTATGGAGACTTCAGCCAAGACAGCTATGAACGTGAACGATCTCTTCCTGGCAATAGGTAAGGTCAGAGCAGCCTGGGATCTTCCTGTCTTTTTCCCTGGCCTCTAGACAAGATCACTAACCCAAGTCATAAAGGTAGAGGGGAGTGTCTCCTCTTGTGAAAACTTTAGGTATGGAAATATCTTAACTTTCCATTATGACCTCAGTCCTTTGGCTGCGGCTTTAGCCCCCTCACCTTCAGTGTAGTTTACAAGTGAACCTTCCCCTCTTCAAAACGTTCTTTTAATCTCTCAGATTTCTCCCTTCCCCGTCTCTCCCCTACCCATAGTCCTTTGGAGGGATGAGTAAAATCGACCATACTTTTTTCCCTTCTCTTTTTATCTCTAGCTAAGAAGTTGCCAAAGAGTGAACCCCAGAATCTGGGGGGTGCAGCAGGCCGAAGCCGAGGCGTGGATCTCCATGAGCAGTCCCAGCAGAACAAGAGCCAGTGTTGTAGCAACTGAGGGGGTGGCTAGCAGCAAACAAGTATGGAGCTAGCACGAGAGCTAAGAAATAACCTCCACCCCCACCCCTCAGCACACAGCCCCTACGGTAACAGCACACTGAGCCCTGGCTCCCAAGGGCTGCCTCCTGACAGCTCCGTCATGGCACTTTTTAACGCTTCAGCAACCAACACCAGGCAGCTGTTGCCACTGGCCTCCTACCCCTACTGTGGGGCTTGGGGGTCAGATCCCCCAGGACTTACCTTCCAAAACAAACTTTCTTCACTTTGTATTATAGGTGCAAGACAGTGACCTACTTACCTTTCCTCCTCTTCCTCCTCCTCATTTTTTCAGAAAACATTTTTTGTCTCCTGCCCCTTCCCCTTCTGCTTTTGGTCAATCCCTGTTCTTGATCCCCTTTTCCTCCTCTCCCCAGGATGGAGAAGGTGGTGAACCCAGGAACTAAGGAAGGAGGTTTCCAGTTCAGTCACATTAAGGCTCAGAGCAGGAGGGAGTAAGGAAACAGGTCCTCTTTTTTTTTTTTTTTTTTTTTTTTGGTTGGAGTTTCTCATATTTGAAAACACTGCAGTCTCCATGAGTTGGCCTTGTGGAGGGTGTTTCTAGGTAGAGGTGAGAAAGGGAAGGCAAGCTCTCGGGGACTGGGTAGTTGTGTTGTTAGCTAACTGGGCAGAGGTGAAGAAGGTGGGAGATGCAGTGTCACCTTTGGCTGTGGAACTGTTCCAAGGCCTAATTTCCCCCTCACCCAGCCTCTTAGGTAGCTCCTCCCCCACAGTGGGGGAGACTCTGGACCCCAGAGTCCTCCAAAGAATCTTCACTGGTTGCCTGCATCTTTGGCTCTGCTGTGATCTAATTAGAGGAGGGACCAGTTTCTGATACCCATCCTCTGATTTATACATATGCATTTTTCCCTCCTCTGGCCTTTAGATGGCCTCAGCCCCAGCCACTATATTCCCCTGCAGTTTGCACTTTAATTGGTGGTAGTTCACTTGGGATACTTGTGTTATGGGGGGTTTTGATTGATTTACCTGCCCTCTCACCTTTTTAATTAAATGGAACCCAAGGTAGTATATATATGAGGTTTTGGGAGGGGCTGTAGAGAACAGGACCAGTGGCAGCTACTCAAGCCCAGTCTCCACTGCTTGCTTCCTCCAACTCTGATTCTTAACCTGTATTCTTGCCAACCTAGCTCTCGAGTATAGGTTTGCCTTTCCTGGGTGATTAACTGAGCAACTAGAGAGCAGGCTCAGGATAGCCTAGGCCATGGTGTGGGAGTGAAGAGGGGTCAGGCAAGAGGGAGGAGTTTCCTGTCCTTTCCTAAGGTTCATGTTAAATGATCCACCCATTACCATGTCTTTTCTACTTCCCTGTAAATAGGTATGATCTTTATTCCCACTGTATAGTCTCTTCTGTCCTCCACCTCCCATCAGGCCCTCTATCTTTTCTCCTTTGTTAGTATCTTCAGTTTAGTCCCTCCATCCTTATCCTCATACCCACCCCCAGCTGGTGGTTTAATCCACGTACCACTAGGGGCTAATACCACAGAGGCCTACTTGTGGCCCCCTCACACCGTAACACCTGTTCCCGTGGATAGGGGACAACTGGCACTGAAGGTCCATCACAGCTGTCTCACATCACCAGGGGACATGGGTCCTTTCTAAATCTCTGGCCACTCTTCACATCCTTCATCAGGTGTTTTAGGATGTCTTTGGGAAGCCATCAAGGCAAGAGAGAACTCTAAACTCCTTGTTCCAGCCCAGAGTTTTGGGAAAATTGGGGGAAGTAAGATAGGAAAGGTCACAGTGACCTAGGATTGGAACCTTTGTACCCTTTGGTTTACAGACTGCCTTCTGTCCCAGAGCAGCTGAAAAATCCTTGGAGCTGAGACTCTGAAGGACCCAGCTTAGGTTCTTCCACTTAAGACTCATTTCCCTTCCTTTTCCAGGGGCAGCCTTAGTTCCCGTGGCCCTGAAACACACACACATGTTCCCCTTCCTTTCCCAGCACCCACCAGCCTCCCAAAGCACTCAGTGCATCCTTACAGTGGAAGAACTGGGATAGCTCTCCTAAATTCCTTAGAAATGAAGTTTTGTTTTGTTTTGTTTTGTCTCTGTGCATCTTTCCCCATGGAACAGGAGTGAAGTGTTTCATTGCCTTGGGGCTGGGAAACCATTTCTCCAGGCTTCTTCTCCCCTCCCCAGCCCCCTCAGGAACAGGATTGGCCTTAGCTTCTGGGCCTATCTGCTGCCTTCCTTCTATTTCCTACCAGCTCTTCTGCTTTCCTTTGAGCTCTCTTGGGCTTGGGGATCTTACTTTTTATTTCCCAGGTCTTCATTTTTTTTCTGATCAGTTTTTTTTTGGGGGGGTGTCCTTTTTTTTTTCTTCTAAGAAAGCATTTGCCTTTTACCCCTTTTCTTCCTCTCCCAACATAACAATCGTGGTAACAGAATGCGACTGCTGATTTACCGATGTATTTAATGTAAGTAAAAAAGGAAAAAAAAAAAAAGAAAAGAAAAGTGTATTGGAGTGTTGCTTCTTTTTTCTTTTTCTTTTTTTTTTTTTTTTGCTATTTGATACAAGAAATTTGGAAGAAAGGGCATCCAATGTTTTATTGAATCAGAAATACACCCTCTCCTACATCTTGGTATCTCCTTATTCCCTTTAATCTTTTCTTGAATAATGACATAGCCCAATTTGGAAAATATTCCCTTTATTGCTGTTAAACTCCTATTCCTGGGCCACTAGAGAGCTCATCAAATCCGACCTAGCTTCCTTTTTAGGCCTCTTAATGAAATATATATTGGCAGGGGAGAGGGGTATCTATGGATCTCTGGGCAGGCAACGGATGAGACTGGAGGCAGAGGTGGTATTTGTGAATCCTTTGAAGTATTATGCAAAAGTTTATGTGCATTTCTCCAGCGAAAGGGTGCATTGCCTTGTTAGTATCTCAGAGGGGTCCATGTTAAAGAAGGTTAAAAAAATCATTAAATTTGTGTTTTTAATTGATCATGTGGCTTCTACCCCAACAGGAAAATTTCTCCTAGATCTCCTCTTGTTTGCTACTGTACGTGAAGCCCTTCAGTCCATCACAGTCTAAGTGGAGGTGGATAGGGGAGAATGATACAGAGAAAGATTGGGTATTGTTGCGCAAGGACAGGAAAGAGGACTGGCGTCAAACAGAGCTGGCATTGCAGTCCCATCTGCTAACTTGCCTACTGTGGCCTTGATCAAGTTACTTAGCTGCTGTCTGCCTCAGTTTCTTCTGTAAAATGAAAAAAAGTTGAGGTTTAAAGGTTAATTATGTAAAGTATGTGTGGGGCACACAAGGTGACACTGTTATTAGGGAGAAGTCTTATCCTGTGGCTTCAGACAGTCCCTAACTGATTTCTCTGTAACCTTGGGCTGAGCCTGTTTTTCAAGGCTGGTAGGATAGGTTGGGCATCACACCTCGCCAGAGATTTAATTGAACACAGCTGAGTTGGAAGTCTATTTCCAAAAACTCTAGGCCAAAATCACCTTTTACCTGTCAATTCCCTTTTCCTTCTATCTCTTAGTACTCCCTCCAAGGCTCCTTGATTCCTGGCAAAAGCTCTAGTTCACTTTAGAGCAGAAAGGGAGAAGAAATGATCTTCCAAAATTAAAGACGAAAACCTTCACTTAAAGGTTGTAGTTCAACCTTCTGAGCTCTAGGGGGCAGTGTGGACACGCTTGCCCCAGGTTCACAGCCAGCCAATAACTAAGTTTTCAGTCCCGCACCAAACAATAAAGGGTAATTGCAAACGTCGTCTTAGTGCTCTCTACTCTGAGATTATGAGAGATTATAATCCTACTTTGGGGTGTTATGTTATTGCTCTCGTTATGACCAGTGATTTTTTAATTGACTTAAGGAAAAAAATGGCTAGCTATATTATTGGTTCCATAATTTGGTAAGAAAATCAGCAAGTCCAAGGGAACTCAAAGTCTTTGAACCACTATTTAGGCTTCACTCCAGCTCTTATTGTTGGATATAAGAGAATTGAGCGCTTGACCTTGTTTTCACTAAAAGACAAACAAGGCTGTTGTAGTTGCAACACAAACTTTTGTCAAAAACAGGGTAGAGGCGGAGCTCACTGCCGGGAGAAAGACGACTGGATTTCGAGGCCTCTTCAGTGAACGCACCTTGTGTCTCAGCTGTAGGGGCAGGGTGGGGGCATCTCAAAACTTCCCACCTTCAGCCCAACCTTTGGAGTTCTCGTCACCTTCCATTGCCCGGTTCCGGACAACAGTGAGGGTCCCATTCCTTGTCGAGCGGGGATGGAAACAAAACAGCCAGCCTTAGCTCGGAGCTCCCCTCGTGGCGCCCTGCCTGCCTCAGGCTCAGGAGGCGGGCACAGCAGCTGGGAGGCGGCCCGCGGCCAGCCAATGGCTGGGGGACGAGCTGAGGCGAAAGTGGTCCTTCACTCTGGACCAACGTCACGGTGCTGGCCCCGCCCCTTTGCCAGCCGTCGTCTGGAGCCGGGCGGGTAAACCAGCGGCAGAGCGGACGCCGAACCCGGTAAGGGGGTTGGGGGGCTGGGAGAGAGAAGAGGTGGAAGAAGGGCTGGTAACCTGGGCGATGGCCGGGGCCTTGGGACCTGGGAGTGCTCCGAACCCCGTGGGTTGGAACAAGAACTGCCAGTACCGCCTCCACTCCCGCTGCCCAGCTGCTCCTGGGGGCGCGGTGCGCTGCTACGAGACACTGTTGTGCCAGCAGCTGGGCAGTGGCAGGGGACTGGGTGCTGGTGCTCTGGGGCTGGATATACCCTCCTACCTAAAGTGCCCCTGGGGAGTGAGGGGCCACTACCCGCACAAGGGGTGTGGCATCTGTTTTGGAGCCGAAGGTTGCTTCTCCCAAACCGGGGACCCTGGGCTGACCAAGTTCACCTGTAAGTCAGCCCTGCTTGCACCACTCCAGCCTGGTTATTATAAGTAGGCTGCTGGCGTCGAGGGCAGGTGGGACGGAGAGGGAGGATCTCAAGGCCCAGGGGTAAAATGCAGACTCTGCTCCTGCTCCTATTGCCCTCACCCTTGCAGTTTCCCTGCCCGCCCCCCTCTGTAGCATTTCACCAGCAATTGGGACTTTTCTCACTCTTCCCTATTTTGGCATTCCTGGGGTCAGTGATCTGCTCCGTGCTCTGAGGAAGGAACTGCTGCAGGGCAGAGTGGAAAAATTACTTCTTCCCTAGCCCATCCCCTGACACTGTGGCCATTACTTCCCAGTTTGCTGAGTTCACAGGAATGGCATAGACAAAGTAGGGGTGGGGACCCTGGATTGGGGTCCACTTCCCAGCTGGGTTCTATTTTCTTTTTCCCTAAGGTTGGTAGAGGAAAGGAGGGGACTGAAAGGCCTTCAAAGACAACGTTATTACTTGTTTGTTCCTCACAGCTACTCTGCTAGGTAGATCTCATTTCATAGATGAGACACAGTTTTGAGAGGCTTGGTATCTTGCCCAGGCAATGGGGCTGGTTAGTAGCCGGGCCGGTTTCACAAACCCAAAACAGTTCGACTCCAGAATCTGAGCTCGTTCATCCCATTAGGCTACCACTACCTTTTTCACCTTTTTTTTCCTATCCAAGTTAGTCTGCCCCTCAGTTGTCCTCTGCTGACTTTGGAAATAATAAACCAGCAGACTGGACTGTAGATATTTTGGCTTCTGTCCTTTAGGCCCTTGGCCCCAAACATTGTTCTCTGTAGTGGACAAAGTAGAGAATAGAGGATGGGAGATAGGTGGTTCTAGAAGACCAACCCCTCCCTCCAGCCCCATTCCCTTCCGTCCTGTCAGCACAGTCTCTCTGAAGTCCTTTAGGTTTTCTCTAAGGACCCATTTGGACACACACACCCACGTACACACACACACACACACACACACTCTCTCTCTCTCTCTCTCTCTCTCTCTCTCCCATCCTTTGGCCTCATTACCACAGAAAAAGTATCCTCATTTGCTGGGGAGTTCCTTGTTTACCTTCTTCCACCGGTTTCCTCAAGTTGCCCTAATATCATCCCCTTCCAGAACTCCCTATCTTGATCCTGGAATCTTTTTCCCACAGGTCTGCCACAATGCTGCGGCACAGGGCTGTCATCTCACATCTCCGACAGGCCTGCAGGTAGGCCATCAGATCCTAGAACTCGTCTCCTATCCCTTATTTCCCACCCCCAGTATCTTTATGTTGTTTTATCTACCAGATAAGATAGTTGAGATGGTGACTACCAGGGAGGAAAGGGAAAACCATAACTCACCCATTTGCCCCACCCATCCCTGGACAAACAAAGTCCTAACTGAAGGAACCAGTGGCCAACCTGGTAAACCCCAGGCCTTCACTGTCTCATATGATCGGAACTGTACTACTAAGAAGACCTCTCTCTCTTTCAGCTTCCAGTCAGTCCCCTCAAGGCTCTGCATTCGGGCCTGCTCTACAAATGATTCACTTCAACCCCAGTGCCCCCGCCTTGCCTTCTCTGGTGATAACTCCAGCCCTAGGGGATGGAGAGTCATGGGGACTCTGCTAGGCCTTGGTACAGTATTGGCCTATCATGACCACCGGTGCAGGGTAAGTGGGGAAGGAAGGGACTTCACTGTCAGAACAGAGGGGCCCTACTAAGCTCCCCAACCAACCCAGGCTATTAACACACAGTCCATGGTGATACTGTCTTCCTGCAGAGTAAAGATGGAGTCTGCTACCTCTCTTTCACAGTGGCCATGACTTTATGGGTTGGGTCAGGGTGAACTAGAGTGATTCCTTCTTACTATTTATGTTTCTTTTTGCCTTACCCCTGCCCTGCCTGCAGGCTGCTGAGAAGTCACCACACATATACACGAGAGAGGAAGTGAGATCTCACAGCAGCCCTGAGACTAGGATCTGGGTGACTCTGGGCTGTGAGGTGTTTGATGTTACAGAATTTGTGGACCTACACCCAGGAGGGGCATCAAAGCTGATGCTAGCAGCAGGGGGTCCTCTAGAGCCCTTCTGGGCCCTCTATGCCGTTCATGACCAGCCCCATGTGCGTGAGCTACTGGCTCAGTACAAGGTCGGGGAGCTGAGCCCTGAAGACAAGGCACCCTCCACTTTGCAGACCTCTGACCCTTATGCTGATGATCCTATACGTCACCCAGCCCTGAAGGTCAATAGCCAGCGCCCCTTTAATGCAGAGCCCCCCCCTGAACTGCTGACAGAAAACTATATCACACCTAACCCTATCTTCTTCACCCGGAACCATCTGCCTGTACCTAACCTGGACCCAGAAACCTATCGCCTGCATGTAGTAGGGCCACCTGGGTGTCAGTCACTGTTCCTATCCCTGGATGACTTGTACCAGTTCCCTAAGCACGAGATCACAGTCACTCTTCAGTGCGCTGGCAACCGACGCTCTGAAATGACTCGGTTCAAAGAAGTAAAAGGTCTGGCGTGGAATACAGGGGCCATTAGCACTGCATGCTGGGCTGGGGCACGCCTCTGTGATGTGTTAGCCAAGGCTGGTCACCGACTCTGTGAAACTGAGGCCCACGTGTGCTTTGAGGGACTGGACTCAGACCCCACAGGGACTGCCTACGGAGCATCCATCCCTCTGGCTCGGGCCATGGACCCTGAAGCTGAGGTCCTGTTGGCATATGAGATGAATGGGCAGCCTCTGCCTCGTGACCATGGCTTCCCTGTGCGAGTGGTGGTTCCTGGTGTGGTGGGTGCCCGCCATGTCAAATGGCTGGGCAAAGTGAGTGTGGAACCAGAGGAAAGTTACAGTCACTGGCAGCGGCGGGATTACAAAGGCTTCTCTCCATCTGTGGACTGGGACACAGTAGATTTTGACTCAGCTCCATCTATTCAGGAACTTCCAGTCCAGTCAGCCATCACAGAGCCCAAGGATGGGGAGACGGTACAATCAGGGGAGGTGACTATCAAGGGCTATGCCTGGAGTGGTGGTGGGAGGGCTGTGGTCAGGGTGGATGTGTCTCTGGATGGGGGCCTAACCTGGCAGGTGGCTGAACTGGATGGAGAGGAACAGCGCCCCCGAAAGGCCTGGGCCTGGAGGCTATGGCAGCTGCAAGCCCCTGTGCCAGCTGGGAAAAAGGAATTAAACATTGTTTGTAAAGCTGTAGATGACAGCTACAATGTGCAACCAGACACGGTGGCCCCAATCTGGAACCTGCGAGGTGTGCTCAGCAATGCCTGGCACCGTGTCCACGTCCGTGTCACCCCATGAGAAGGTGAAATGAATTACCTACTCCCAGAATCATTTTCTCAACCTCTTTCCATACCCATCCTTTTCCCTCCTTACAGAAAAACCTTTCCTTTCATCATCACTTCTTGGATGACAACCCTGTACTATGCCTTCCTAAACCACACATAGATACACACATTGCACATTTCCCAAGCAGGCACCAACTCTCCTTTGACACTATGTTATATAACTCCTGTTGTGCCTGGAGTTGAGAGCTGCTGGAGCAGGGGGCTAGAAGAGGGGGAAATTCTGTAGACAAGCACTCTTCTCTTCCTACCCCACCTCCACTTCTAATGTATATCACCATTTTATTTTGCTTTTCTTCTTGGGAGTCTTCAGATAATATGTGTGGATATGTGTAAGAAAAGTGTATGTGCAACTTTCTACTGACTTTCTGGGTTGCCAAGAGTTGTGAGGGGTGAAATCCTGCCCCTTTATGGTTCCACTTTTCTAAATACATCAATAAAGTGTTTAAGTATACAACTCTGAAAAAAGATTATGACTTTTGGGACTTCTTAAGGCTGGAGCGTGAGCATGTTGCAGGAGGGAGGTGCGCTGGTACTGGAATACGTAGTGAGATAATCCAAAACAAGGTGGGAGGAGAGAAGGGAAGCTGATGCAGGGACGTCAAGAAGTGTGACGTCCTTCTCTGAGGTCGGCCGGCATCTGTAGCGTTGCTTAGGTGACTGACCTCAGAATACCTCCAAGAGAGATTTTAAAAATTGACATTATTAAGCTCCTCCTCGCCCCTCCCCATTCCTACACTTGGCAGGAATGGCAAAGAATGCTGAGAGGTTAAAAACAGTATTCTCTTAGTAGGGGCCAGGCAAAACTTGGCACTAGGGGCAGATGTGCCAGGGCACGTGGGGTGTCCAATGTGCGCCTAGTTTGCAAATCAGATGCAGATGAAGGGGCAGTCATTGAGTGACCCAACGCACGCGACCGCGCCTCTCCGACTTGAATCTTTCGGCGCTCGGCTACTCTCCCCTAGCTCTTCTCCCTTTCCCCCAGCAGTCTCCCCGGCTTGGGGACGCTCGGTGTTCGGCCACGCCGCCTGTCGCCTGGTAGTGGGACCGGAAGTTGTTCGGGGGAGGGGGGACGGCCGTGATGGGGGGGGTTGGGGGGGGGGGGCCGGTCCCTCCTCAGGTGAAGCCGCTGATGGAGATGGAGCCGCCGCCGCCGCTGAGCGCCCGGGTCCCGGGTCCGGCCCGGTTGCCGCCGCCTTAGTGACCCCACTTCCCCCGCACTGGGCCGCCCGGGCCAGAGTGGGGGACCCCCGCTGCCCCGCCCCCCTCTTCCCCAATACCGTCCCCTCTCCCACACCCCCCTAGCCTGCGCGCGCGCGCGGAGCTGCCTCAGGTGAGTGAGGGGCGGGGCTTGGGCGAATCGCTGGGGCGGGGCCTCGGTCGCCGGGGGCGGGGCCTGAGGGGCTTGGGCGTGAAGTGAGGGGAGACGGGGGCGGGGGGCTGGCGGGAAGAGGGCTTACCCGCCTGAGCTGTGTGGCTCGAGGGGAGAAAGCTGGCCCGGGTGGTGGGGGAGGTTGGCGCGAGGCTTAAGGTTTAGGGGAAGGTAACGTCAAGGGGTCCTAAAAAGGCGGGAGACAGGTCAGGGCAGAGGATCGAGGATAGCCAGGAGCTGGGTGCGCGGGTCTCCTCGGTGGGATACGGCTGGGGTAGAACAGAGACAGTGGAGAAAGGAGAAGCAGAGGGGGTACCTGGGCAAAAAAAGCGAGGGATTAGGGGGTTTGTCGAGAAGGTTAGAGAGGACATAGGCCTAGGTAAGGAGATCTGGGAGGCAATGAGCAGAATAGGAGAAACGTGGTAGAGAGGAAACTTAGAGTGGAAAGTGATGTCTAGGGTACCATGTAGGGTGAGAAGTCTAGGGAACCTGAGAAGCAGGTTCCTGGGAAGGAAGAGATTCCCTGCATATGAGTCCTAAGAAAGAACTGTAACAGAGGAAGTCCTGGGGCTGACAACTCTAGGGAGAGACAGACTTGGGAAGCAGTTATAAGCTAAAATAGGCCTCCATGTACCTCCTCACACAGCCCCATCCCCAGTTATTTTCTTACCCTTTGTCTGCTAGAGTTGTAGATTCTCACTTTGGAAAATTTTGTTTGATGTCTATGCTTTTTAAAAAAATTTTTTTTTGTGATTGGTCCTGTCTAGAGACAGTTGGGAGTTTAATAGCACACAGATCATAAGATATGAGATGTTTGAGAAATAAGGTACCCCATTTCTCTCTAAGAATTGACTAACTCTGCATCCAGGAAGATCTGATGCATTACCAGCCACACTGTGTCAAGTTTTACACACCTTCTTTTGCTTCAGTCCCTTCTCTCATAAGCAAAACTGTCTACTGTTGTGACTCTTATAGATTCCCCCACCGACAGGTTTCATAGCTCCACCTGTGTCCCAGTCTACCCTGCCTGAGCCCTCAAAGCATCATTGGTGAGCTTAGAAATTCCTGACTTGCTCACATGTCAGCTCTAGGCTTTCCATTATCATGGCCAAGCAGAAGACTGTTGAGGCCTTTTGTTTCCCCCTTACTGCTTGCTACTTGTTCACTTTACCTGTGTGAAGGTACATGTTTATATTCTTAGGAAGCATTAAAAAACAGGTGTCTGACTACCTACAATATCTCCACTTAAGATAACTCAGATTCTGAGGATAACGCCAGGACAAGGCCAAATCAAACAATCTTTGAAAATGTAGCTTCTTATTTGGTAGGAGTATGTGAGAATGCCTAGCTGGGAATCCCACATCTCCCATGGGTCTTTCAGTAGGTCAGTGAATCTTGCTTTGTGGTGTGGGGGACTTCAGCCTTCCCTACAACAACCTAAAGCCAGAGAATCCAGATAACTCCCTGGGTCATGAGAATAGTCAGAAGAGTGTCTCATGAGATAAAAATAAAGTCTTAAAAGAAGAAAATAGTGTTGCCATTGGGAAGCAGGCTAGGTCTCACTGGAGCTTCTGGGGTGGGTCCCAGGGTGGTGGGAGCTGCCCTCAATTTGGCAGGTTGAGAATTATGTCTTGCCCTAGTCAACAGATGCTGATGTCTCAAGCACAAAATATAATGTCTTTCTTGCCCACTGAGTGCAGTTAGTTCAATTCTAGCTTCTGGGCAATCCCCTTCCTCTTAGTAGGTTAAGGGTAAAGCACATTTTGGGACTTGGCTCAGAAAGAAGTCCTGAATTTTTTTCCAGTGAAAATGCAACTGAACATTTCTTCTTTATTTTCTCTTAGTTTCAATCTGCAGCTTGTACTTCCCAGCGTGGGAGGAACATTATCCCACCTTTTACCTCCTACTAACATCCACAAAGGAATTATTTTCTCCCGAACTGGCCATCTTTTTTCCCTCAACATACACACAAAATAACCAAGGAAAAAATTAAGATAAGTTATTGTTGGGCAGGTATTTCAAGGCTCATTTTACTCTAGCAGAACAAATAAGAGTGTGGAGCCCTGTGGGTGTAGACAATGCTATAAGCAGAGGTACTCCCTCTTTTTGTTGGTCTCTTGACCCTGCCTGAAGAAGGCCCTGATTTCCAAGCTGTTTGATTTGCCTCCTTTTCTCAGAAGAATTGTGGATTCTGTATTAGAAACAGGGAGACAGTTTCAAGGTTTATCTGACAGAAGCATCTAAGAAAGGATAGTGCTGATATGAATGACCTGTCTCCTCCCACCCCACCAGTGGGAATGGCATCAACCTTATAGACTCCCAACGTTCAGATGCAGACCCCCAAATTTTTCATTTCAACACCTGAGAAAGAAGGTAAGCATGGTGACCCCAAACCTTCCCACTGTGGCAAGATTTAACTTTGTACTGTAGTGGAAAGACTGGTTACCTGCTTGGTAACCTGGGTTCTATTTGTCTTAATTCTGTCGCTAACCAGATGGGTGACTCAGCTTAATTTCTTCTTTTGTTAAAAACCAAGAGATTGGAGATCATCTCTCAGCTCCATTCTAGCTCCAAGATTCCCCAGGTCCTACAACATCCCTGCCCCAGGCCCTCCACATGAAGAGAGGCTTACTAAATTGGATTTTCACGGCCAGATTCTTTGTTAGCAGAGGAGCCCAAAAACATCTTTCCGGCCCAAACAACACTGAGCCCTTTTGATGAGCATGCATTAGAGACTTCCGGTCAGGACTGCCACCAAAGGCAGTGGTTCCTGTCTCTTCCACCTTTTTGCTACCCTGCCCCAGGCAGAATAGTTCATTAAGACTTCCGTGTAATTTCAAACCTCACTTGATAGAGCTAACTTTGTTTGAGGGCATCTTTGGCTTCAAAACTAATTGTTATAAAATTCAAATTGAACTCTGCTGCCCTACTTCCCTCACCCCTCCCCAAACACTGAATAGCAGTGACTTTGTGGGGCCTTTCTATAAACACAGGGCTCAAATCCTCAAGGGTATATCCAAAAAACCCAGAGAGTATTATCTCATGTGCCTCATACCTAGTGATTTAAACTGTTTAGTTTGGCCTTTTCCTTAGTTCCTAAGTCCTAAGAGGAGACATGGGAGGGGTAGGATTGTTCCTCCTCCCGCCCATAAACCTTAGCCCTCCCTCTCTTCCACAGTCGACGTGGGGGGGACAGGGAAGTGCAAAGAACAAGAGAAAAGATGCATCCATCTGAGATCTAAAAGGAGACAATGAGGTGATATTTTCCCACTGCCCAGGTGTTGTGTTTCCAGCTCCTAGCCCTTCTTATTTTAGAGACTGGCCATTCCTAGGATGACCTGAGAATTCATCCCTTCAGCACAGCTCCCCAAGCACTTGGATAATGAAGTCGAGCTGTCTTCCTCTGTATTATATGTAGACAGAAGGTCACCATCTTCAGCCTGGTGAAAAAATGAGTCAAATCTTTCTGCTGTAAAGACAGACACATGAGCTGAGAAAAGGTTCGTGGGTTTCCTTCTAGAGGGCCCTAGGTTGACCCTAAAGATCATTTCAGAGCTGCAGACCGCTGGACGTCAAGGTCTGTTTCCTGGAAAGGGACATGTTGTCAGTGGTCAGTCAGGCTGCAAACAATGCCTCATTCCACCTCTGCCCTCAATCATTTACCTCTTTCCCCTCCCCAGTTATGCAAAGCCCTGACAGACAGCAGAACCAGCCAAGTGACTTAGGTGCATTTTTGTGTCGATTTCATTCAGTTCACAAAGGTACGGACAAGAGAGGATGATGCTATGGGTTTGGTTTACTGGTAGTACCTGAACTGCTCACTCCCAGGCAGGTGGGAAATTCTGTCTTGTTAATAATCACTGCACTCCACTTCGGGTCCCGGGTCCTAGGGGAGACCAGAGAAAAAAATGTCTGCTGCTCCCTGCTGCAGTCTGGGAACAATAACCAAAAGGAAGGCAGAGATCCTTGCCACTCTCTCTACCTCCACTCTCTTTCCCAACAATATCCTCCTCACTACCTTTCTACCCACTAGACCACATGGAGTGTATTTTAAATTCCAATTTTGGAGTGTCACTGGATCAAACAGGATTCTTTA